CAAAGAGTCTAACAATTGAAAGCCACAAAGCCCCAATGATCCCAATAGCTTAATGTTCGATATTAGTAGAGTAAAATAATTTGGTGAGTATTTGGAGTCAAGCATATGCATGTAAGTATAAATTCTTTCTATCTTTAATTTTCAAATATTGGATGCTTGAAGCAATTGTATGAATTGTGGTTTTTGGTAATGGTGAGTGACTAAGTGTTGTTGAATTTTGAGCTTGCGAATGCCTAAGAATTGTCATTATAATTACAAGTTCTGAAAACTTGAAGTTGATCATTGATCTATGTGATGAGATGTAATAGTTGAGTTATTTGCTTATTGGTAGATTTTGCTTGAGGACAAGCAAAAGTTCAAGTTCGGGGGTGTGTTAAGTGTATAGTTTTACACTTTATCCTATCTTTTTATTTGAGCTTTTGGTGTGTTTTAACGATAATTATATTGGTGCTTAAAAAGTTGATTTATTGTATTTTAGGTACAAATTGAAGAATTGGAAAAGTATGGGGTCAAAACTGCAATTTTGGAGAAAATATGGTCCGAAAGTGAAAAAAATCAAAATTCTGAAGATTTAAAGCTCGGACCCCCGTCCCAGTTTTAGTTCAAATTGTGGGACCCCCGTCCAAGACTCCAAAGTTGCGCAGTAAAGGGATTTTAATTGCACAAGGAAACTGCCTTCTTCCCCAAGTTCTTCACCCTATATAAGACCAATTCAAGCACACAATTGAGGATCTTTTAGAACGCAAATTTCATGAGCAACAAAGCAATAACGAAGACGAAGAATTCGAAGACTCTAAGCATAGATTTATCGTTTATGACTCATTTTATTTGTGTTTCTCCTTTAATCATGAGTAGCTAATTTTCTTTTTGTAGGATCTTATTTGGAACCCTATGTGGGATTTATGAACCCAATTATATGATTTTATGCAAGTTTTAATTCCGGATTATTTCTTCTACTTGTTTTATTAAGTGCATGAACTTGATCAACTTATGTGCTTTTATATTATTGTTAATCGCATGAATCGGAAGATCGGGTTAATAATTAGAACTGTGGTAGAAGAGCCTTTGTGGTATTAATATAGGAATATAGTTAATCTCTTAGGTAGCCATTATTGAGATTTGTGCTTAATGTTGTGTTCTAGAATTAATTGCATAGGAATATAGTAATTGAATCTAGAGTATTAGAATCGTAATACACGCGGAAGCGGGTTATGATTAATTTAACATCTCAGGTTAATAATCCGGGTTAATTGCTTGCATAATTGAAAGAATTGGGGGAGTAATAATAACATAGGGGGAAGAATAATTTGCTTTCTTGCTTTGTGGTTTTAATTTGCCTTTTAATTTAATTTAGTTAATTCTCTCTAAAATTCGACTGTGTAGGGTGGGCTTGATAATAATTGGTAGAATTTAGCATCTAGGATTAGATAATTAAATATTCCCTGTGGGTTTCGATATCCGGACTTTTAGTCCACTATATTACTTGTACGATACGTGCACTTGCGTGTAGGTTTTCGGCCAACATTGACAGTAATATTATTGTCAACCACATCAATATTAATTTATTTTTTTTGTTTTTTATTATGTTTGTCTTTATTGAACGATCAACATATTAATTTTATTCAATTACATTATAATACTGATTTTTGTTGTGTTAATATTACTGTGATAGAGAAATATAACAATATTTACTGTGTGTTGAACAGTAATATAGTTAATATAAATGTCAACCACAACAGTATTACTGTTTAAACGGGCCAACAAATGTTAAAGAAAAAAAAATAAAAAACTTAAAAAAAATTGTAGTCAAAATTGGGGTAAGGGTCAAAATTGAATAATTAGTAAAATTTGAGGTTAAATTAAAATTACATTGAATTAAATGACCAAATTAGAACATATTTAAATATGAGTGGGTATTTTATTATTTTACACACCTCTAAACATTGTTTGAGTGTTTTTATAAAATAATTTTTTATCTGAATAATAATTAGCCCATAGGCTTACCTGCCATAAACCTAAAAAACATCGAGCAATAGAAATAACCATCTGCCGTGTAAACTCTAACCTATAAGAATCCTTCAACAAGCAAATTTAGGTTACCTCAATATTACATTCTCTACAGGAAAAAAAAAAAAAAAAAAAAAAAAAAAAGAGCTTAGGGTTTCTTCGAGCTTAAATATTTTTTTTCAACAGTAATATTCTATTCAGCTCAAAAATACTTTAGGGTTTCAGCCATGGCTAACGCAGAAAGTAGAGATGGTTCAAACTCCATAGATAGATTATCCGAATTGCCTAAAGAAATCTTGCACAAAATACTTTATTTCATGTCTCAGAAAGATGCTGTCAGAACATCTGTATTGTCGAAATCATGGCTTAATATCTGGTGCACTCGTCCCAATATTGATTTCACAGACACCGCATTCAAAGGTTACTGATATGCCTAATTGAGCCAACCCAATGGGCCTACAATTTCTTTACCTACTAGGCTACGAACCCAATATCGAAGACTAATATCACCGAGGCCCAAACACCTTCAAGTAAGGCTTGGGCCCAACAAAACAAACCCAACCCAATAAACGACATATAAATAGAGGTTTTACTCATTTTATTAAGGTACGTCCTATTAACTGAGCAATACTACAATACGTATTCTCTGGACTATTTCTATGATCAGCACGTCTGACTTGAGCGTCGGAGGGGTTTCCGCCGGATCAACCCCCGGCTTAGTTCATGTGTTCTATGATCGCAGGTACCTCAGGATCATCAAGTTGTCAAGCTACTGATCCGCTTTGCTCTCCCAGTTTGTTTTCTACACTACCCCAGATGATCTACATTTTAGCATCATCATTTTGGCGCCGTCTGTGGGAACGATGCAAACCAGATCACGTAGCCAACAAGATCCTCCTGAGGCGTCTGCTCGAAGAGAAAATGACACAGCTAACGACCTCCAACCTCGTGGAGGCTCTGGCTTGCCACCTCCTCCACATCCCATGGATCCGCCTCGCGAGGTTCAGGTGATCCCCTCTCGGGACCCACCACTCGCCGATCCACCACTCCCTGCTCCTCGAATGGTTCAAATAACCGAGGATGCGCTTCAACGCATGATAGCAGAGGCTTCAACTCGTGTTGCCACTGGCCGTGACCCAATATATCGCCACGATGGGAGCAGATGCTCCCAACGCGATACCAGCACCTACTCCACATGTGGAGCCACCTATGACACCACCGTCATCGACTCCCTGGGGGCTTACATCGCCCCCAAAATATTTCGTTCGCCAAGGGTTATCGACTCCCTGGGGGGCTTACATCGCCCCCAAAATATTTCGTTCGCCAAGGGTTATCGACACCCTGGGGGCTTACATCTGCCCCCAAAATATTTCGTTCGCCAAGGGTTATCGACTCCCTGGGGGTTCACATCGCCCCCAAAACATTTCATTCGTCATAGCAGGAGCCAACGCTCCTCCTCGTGAGGCCCCACTGGGTCCTCAACATGATCAATTTCTACTTACTTCTCGAACGGTTCAGATAACCGAAGAAGACCTTCAGCGTATTATCACGGAAGATTTAACTCGTGCTGCCACTGAATCAGTGGCACCATATATCGCCAAGGTTGGGCATCTCACCCCACTGGTTCGAGATCGCCTCATCCTAAATGGGGAGCTATCTCATCCTAAAGTTGGGCATCTCATCTCAAGGGTGGTACATCCACTTACCTTTCAACCCCAAGGGGTTTCACATCCCATCAAGTGTTTCACGTCCCTACTATTAAAAACAGAAAAAAGGGTCAGACGCGCACGCGCGAACCAATGGCACAACCGTGCGCATCCACCTCAGACAATAGGTCTCGAGCACCTCATCCTACAGTGGGCAGTTATCCCCATCCTAAGGTTGGTCATCACCCTTACCTTTCAACCCTAAGTGGGTTCACATCACATCTCAAGAGACGAGTATAATCTCCCTACTAAAAAAAAAACATCCCCAAGGGGGTGCACATCCCATCTCAAGGAACGAGGATAATCTCCCTACTCAAAAAATAGAACATCCCCAAGGGGGTGCACATCCCATCTCAAGGAACGAGGATAATCTCCCTACTCAAAAAATAGAACATCCCCAAGGGGGTGCACATCCCATCTCAAGGAACGAGGATAATCTCCCTACTCAAAAAATAGAACATCCCCAAGGGGGTGCACATCCCATCTCAAGTAACGAGGATAATCTCCCTATTCAGAAAATAGAACATCTCCAAGGGGCTGAACATCAACCAAAAAAAAAAAAAAAAAAAAAAAAAGGAAGATGAAAAGAGGAAGAAGAAAATGAAAAGAAGAAGATGAAATAACAGAAGAAGAAGAAAAAGAATAAGCGAAGATAAAAAAAACAAATTATAATTTTTACTACTTTTAAGAGATAAAATAAAATAAAATTTGTTTTGCACCGCGCGCCCCGCTCCCCAGCAGTCCCGCGCGCGCGCTGCGCCCCCGCTCCCCGACACGCGCGCGCGCGTCCCTGCTCCCCGACACATGCGCGGGCGTGCGCCCCGCTCCCCAGCAGCCCGCTAGCGCGCGCCCCAGCAGCCCCGCGCGCGCGCTGCGCCCCCGCTCCCGACACGCGCGCCCTCGCTCCGCGACACGCGCGCGCGCGCCCCCGCTCCCCGACACATGCGTGGGCGTGCGCCCCGATCCCCAGCAGCCCGCTAGCGCGCGCCCCAGCAGCCCCGCGCGCGCGCGCTGCGCATCGGCTCCCGACACGCGCGCGCGCGCGCCCTCGCTCCCCGACACACGCGCGCGCGCCCCTGCTCCCCGACACATGCGCGCGCGCTTCCGCTCCCCGACACGCGCACCCGCGCCCCCTTTGCCGCGCGCGCCCTTCTCCCCGACACGCGTTCCGCGCCCTGTCTCCCTTATCGTGTGCGCGCCTTGCGCCCCGCTCCCAGGTCCCCAGCACGCCCGCGCCGTGCTTCCCGCGCACTCAGCACGCCTGTGCCCCGCGCCCCCATCATGAGCGCGCTGTCACGGACTTGTTCCCTTAACAAAGAACCGTGCGGCCTTAGCTCCTTCTCGCCCCTCGCGATAGCTAAGTCAGCCTCTCCCGAATGTGTTGCTCGAATGCTAAGTGATGGAAAACGAAGAAAGAAAGTAAGAAGACAAGAGAGTTGGTAGAATAATACTTTATTGGATTTGTTGGTGAATGATTACAAATGAGGACCCTACCTCTATTTATACAAGACCACCTCCTCAATGGACGGTGGAGATCGATCTAATCTAACGGATGGGAGTGGAACAATCCCTTGATTGTCTCTACCTACCACCACCTACCCTACCTACCAAAAATAGCTCTACCTACCACTATACAATTGGGCCAACTTGGGCCTAACCCTACTTGGGCTACAACTTGGACTCTTTGTAACCTCCCCAACCCAAGGGAAATCGGCAAGGGGTTGGGTCAAAACTCGCGGGCCGTGACATCCTCCCCCGCCTAATCCGGCGACGTCCTCGTTGCCTCGAACAAGTGGAGACGATCTCGAAATTTTCACAAGTCTTCCTTCGTCTTCCACGTTGCCTCGTACTTGGGTAATTCATTTGATGAGGCTCCTGCCCTGCCGGTTGTTTATTCTCCACCTTGTCTTGTTGGCAAACAAGACAAGTCTTCACACATGCATCGACACCGTCCCGCATGTGAGGCCAAAAGTAGGCCGTCTCGAGCAACGCCATTGTCCTCCTTTGGCCCGGATGCCCCGTCCACTTGGTGTCGTGGCATTCCTTTATGAGGTCCTTCCTCAAGCTGCCCCACTTCGGAACAAAGAGTCGTTGCCCCTTTGTGTAGAGTAGGCCGTCCTCTACCCAAAATTTTCTCGTCTTGCCCTCCTTGACGAGTCGAATTAGCTCCTTGGTCATTGGATCATGTTCGAGCCCTTCTCGGATCATGTCGGCCAAGTTCCCCCTTGTCGAGCTAATCGTTGCGGGTTCGGCTTTTCTACTCAATGCGTCGGCCACAACGCTTGCCTTCGATGGTCGGATCTCCCCCGTCTCGACCAACTCGGTGGCGTGGTCCACCTCCCTCCTAGGTGGAAGCTTGTTGGGCAAATTCGGTGGCATCACGTCTTGGCTGGCCTTCAAGACGGTTTGGATGATCGGTGGCACGTCCTCCTCTTTGTTGACGGGCGGGCTTTCCTCCTTTAAAGTCGCTAATAATGTCGGCTCGCCCCGTCGAACTCCCTTGGTAACTTGCATGGCCGACAGTTGTCTTGGTTGTGTGATTTCTTCCTTAGTGGTGACGTTGATGGCCGGCACCATGCAAGGTGTCCCCTTCTCTAAAATGCAAACCGAATTGAAACAAGGCATTGGGATAGCCATTACCTTGCGGAAGAAATCCATGCCTAGCACCACCTTGAAGTCATCCATTGGTGCTACCGAGAAATCCACTTGGCCCTTCCAAGTGGCTAAGTGCAGCTCCGCGTCTCGTGCTACACCGTTGAGCGGTTGTGCCTTAACGTTAGCGGCCTTGAGCCAACCGTCTCGTCTAGTCCACCGTAGGCCAACCCTCTTGGCCTCGTCTTCGGTGATGAAGTTGTGGGTCGCTCCCGTGTCCACCATCACCTTTGCTGGGGTACCGTTGATGCGGGCCTCCACGTACATCAGCCCCTTGCTTGATGTTGCCGGCATCGGATTAGCCTTTAAGGCGTTGAGAAGTTGGAGCGATCCCACGTTGCCTAGCTCCTCGTTTGTGTCTTGCTCGGCCTCTTGTTGTAAGAGTGCCGACAAGGACCCCATCTTGGGACATTGGCTCATCGCGTGCGGCCCCTTGCACACGAAGCATCCTCCCTTAGGCACAAACGATCCCTTCTTCTCTTCAAGTTGTTGGCGTGAGGATGGCTTGTCTCCTCCCCTCGAGGTTGACGCTCGCCTTGGGTCACGGTTATCTCGATGGTCCCGACCATGATTGTCCCGTCTCTCTCCTCCGCCTTTAGTCGGGCTCCACTTCTCTCTTCGCAACGGCTCTCTCGGTTGATACTCGGTTAAAGACTCGGCGGCGGCAATAGCTTCATCGACGGATTTGATGTCTCGTCGGTGGAGTTCTTGCTTGGCCCAGCCTTGTAACCCATCAGTGAAGTGGAAAAGGAGATCCTCCTCGGAAAGGTTGGGAATCTGAAGGGTGAGGGTGGTGAACTCCGTCACGTACACGCGGATTGAACTTCGTTGCTTGAGTTCCCTCAACCTCCTTCGAGCCTCATAAACGACGTTCTCCGGGTAGAAATGTCGCTTGAGTTCCCTCTTGAACTCTTCCCAAGTATCGATTCGGCAAATGCCTTTCTCAATATCGGCGTGCTTCCTACGCCACCACAACATTGCCGTATCGGAAAGGTAAAGTGAAGAAGTTCTTACCTTAGTCGTCTCGTCGACTAGACCGATACCCTCGAAATATTGTTCCATCCTCCATAGGAAGTTCTCGACTTCCTTGGCGTCCCTTACGCCGTTGAATCCCGTTGGCTTCGGGCAGTCCACCCTTGGACTCGATGTAGCGCCAACGCTACCGTTAGCGGCGGCCTTTTTGCACAAGGCCAAGTCGTCGCGCATCCCCTCGATGCTCTCTTGGAGGGATTGGATGATGGCCTCCAATCGATCCAACCGTTCCTCCCGCAACGTCTCATTGTCCTTAAACAAATCGAGTTGCTCGGCGACGTGATTCTCCAACACATCCGCATCGTGCTCGAGCTTCTCGAATCTTTCGCTAAGCTCCGCTAGCACGGCCTCATTAACGGTACTCTCCCCACGAGCCTTGCTGTGGTCCCTCTTCTTCTTGTTGTTTACGTGGGCCTCCCTGCCACGTCCATCGGTTACGTACGAAATGTCTTCAACGTTCGCCATCGTTGAGTATTCGATCAACACAAAGCCCTTAGCCGGGCTCTGATACCACTTGTCACGGACTTGTTCCCTTAACAAAGAACCGTGCGGCCTTAGCTCCTTCTCGCCCCTCGCGATAGCTAAGTCAGCCTCTCCCGAATGTGTTGCTCGAATGCTAAGTGATGGAAAACGAAGAAAGAAAGTAAGAAGACAAGAGAGTTGGTAGAATAATACTTTATTGGATTTGTTGGTGAATGATTACAAATGAGGACCCTACCTCTATTTATACAAGACCACCTCCTCAATGGACGGTGGAGATCGATCTAATCTAACGGATGGGAGTGGAACAATCCCTTGATTGTCTCTACCTACCACCACCTACCCTACCTACCAAAAATAGCTCTACCTACCACTATACAATTGGGCCAACTTGGGCCTAACCCTACTTGGGCTACAACTTGGACTCTTTGTAACCTCCCCAACCCAAGGGAAATCGGCAAGGGGTTGGGTCAAAACTCGCGGGCCGTGACAGCGCTCTACGCCAAAAAAAAAAAAAAAAAAAAAAAAGAAGAGAACGAATAATAATATATTTATTATCATTATTCCATGACAATGATTAACACAAAAATACAGCACCGATCTACTCCCAACTTCATTCTGCGCCTATCGCGCAGTGATCCGACATCTCCAACCAAGCTACGTGCGTGTGCTCCTCCTCCACTGCGGGACCTTCATTCGCGCTCGGGATCTCGACCCACGTGATCCTCTACCGTGGGACCTCGACCCACGTGATCCTCTACCGTGCGACCTCGACCCACGTGATCTTCCACCGTGCGACATCGATCCACATGTGCGTTCTAGATACGCACATCTCTCCACAGCCGTTGCGATGCAACTCGCTCGGTCCTACGAACATCAATTTGTGCGCGCGCTCTCAAATGGATAAATAAAAAATATTATTTCTCCACACCACGCCAACAGTTATCGGTACACCGCGACACCGATATACTCTCGACACGATCCGGTTTTCATTTCGACTCGACTCCCACATCGAATCGAGAGTGGGGGGCTTAACGAGGAGACAATTCGCTCAGAGCGACCTCAATCCGCGCGCTCCTCAGTCGCGCACCATCCGATGCTCCTACAACTCCCTTGCGAGACAACTCCCACGAGGAGCCAACTCGCTCAGTAATACAACCCGCAGCGAGACAACTCCCACGAGGAGACAACTCGCTCGGCCATACAACCCGTTTCGAGATAACTCCCACGAAGAGACAATTCGCTCAAAGCAACCTCAGTCCGCGCGCTCCTCAGTCGCGCGCCATCCGATGCTCCTACAACTCCCTTGCGAGACAACTCCCACGAGGAGCCAACTCGCGCAGTAATACAACCCGCAGCGAGACAACTCCCACAAGGAGACAATTCGCTCGGTCCTACAACCTCTTACAAGGAAACTCCCACGAGGAGCCAACCCCCTCGGGTCTCAAAACCACAGCGAGATAACTCCCACGAGGAGACCATTCGCTCCGTCCTATAGCCCGTTGGGACAACTCCCACGAGGAGCTAACCCCCTCTAGTCTCAAAACTACAGCGAGATAACTCCCACGAGGAGTCCATTCGCTCAATCCTACAACCCGTTGCGAGGCAACTCCCACGAGGAGCCAACTCCCTCGGATCTCAACACCACAGCGAGACAACTCCCACGTGCAACCACCTCACTCGATAAATATTACTCACCGCGAGACAACTCCCATGAGGAGACAACTCGCCCGAAATTCACTATATAATCACAAGCTCAAGTTAGCACGATTACAACCCTAGAAGCACTTAGAGACATTATGAGAATCTATATAGCCTGGCCAGCTTGATTACTCAAATTTATCTACTTGTTTTCGATGGGTCATTCATTAAAACGTGGCCACGGTCCAAACATACTTAAGACCCATGAGGTCTAACAAGGGGCACGACCCCCATAAAAAAAAATCTTGAGAGTCTGATCCCCTCCTCAAGTACATCACGCACAAGGCTATATGTAAACACATATAAGCAACGCGTCAAAACATTGACAATGTCGAAAAATAACAACTCCCACGAGGAGAATACTAGCTCCGTGCTACTACATTATCGTGAGAAAACTTCCACGAGGACGTAACTCGATCAACTCGATTACCCCAGAGACAACTCCCACGAGGAGATTACTTGATCCGTGCTACTACATTATCGCGAGACAACTCCCACAAGGAGATAACTCGATCAACACTATTACCCCGCGACAAGACAACTCCCACGAGGAGATAATTCACTACTACATCGTCGCGGGACAAAACCGACGACTCAATTAACTTACATCGCGACAACCTTGTCGCGCTATGCGCCAACGCGCATTCACGCCCCTCCGACACACGCTCCAACGCGTTTTCGCATACCATTAGGCCATACGCCAACGATCGACTTCTACAATTTTTACTCTCGACACGATCTGAGACCCATCACAACATGGCCCCCACATCGACTCGAGAGTGAGGGGCTTAATGATATGCCTAATTGAGCCAACCCAATGGGCCTACAATTTCTTTACCTACTAGGCTACGAGCCCAATATCGAAGACTAATATCACCGAGGCCCAAACACCTTCAAGTAAGGCTTGGGCCCAACAAAACAAACCCAACCCAATAAACGACATATAAATAGAGGTTTTACTCATTTTATTAAGGTACGTCCTATTAACTGAGCAATACTACAATACGTATTCTCTGGACTATTTCTATGATCAGCACGTCTGACTTGAGCGTCGGAGGGGTTTCCGCCGGATCAACCCCCGGCTTAGTTCATGTGTTCTATGATCGCAGGTACCTCAGGATCATCAAGTTGTCAAGCTACTGATCCGCTTTGCTCTCCCAGTTTGTTTTCTACACTACCCCAGATGATCTACATTTTAGCATCATCAGTTACAAACAAGATTTTCTATCCCTTGTGACCAGGAGTTTACAGCGGTACTGCGATCAAAGGGTGTGCGTAGATGAGTTTCACCTTCGTCTGACGTTGGTCGATTACTTGGATCACGAATCATTTGTTTCGCTTCTCAAAAAATGGATCCCATTACTCACAAATATGGGTCTTAAGAAGTTTTGTCTTTCCCTTCATTCGGAACTTTATTCGACGCGTCTTAGACTGCCCTCCGTAGTCTTCGGAGCCGAATCGCTCCAAGATTTGCATTTGGAAAATTTCGTGTTGGACCAAAAGACTATTGAAAGGATAGTACTTCTCAAGAATCTACGATCACTTCGTCTCAGACAAGATTGGATCGAGGACGAGATTTTTCAGAAGATAATCGGTAGCTGCCCTCTGATAGAAACTTTGGATATCGAAAGATGTGCTAGGTTAAGAACAATAACGGTGAGTGATCTTCACCATCTCAAGTATTTTTCTTCT